CACACACACACACACACACACACACACATTTGATGGTGCATGGTGTATCCCGGGGAATGTTTAAAGGTCACATTTTGACTTCTTTTAAATGGAGCACTTGGCCTCACTGGGAAAAGAGATGGGAGGTGTATTTACAGGTGAGGAAAGAAAAGAACAAACTAATAAGTAAAAACAAATTGAAACCGACTGAACTATGCGACATTATGTGTGTACGCTGATGCAAGTGTCAGTCAGTGTGCGAGTGTGTGCAAGTGTGGCAGCGAGGCAGCTCTGAGTGTGGCTGTAGATTAATGACAGCCATTATCTCAATGCCCAAAACACTCAGTGATAGAGAGTCTGTGCCTGGCGACGGGCCGGAGCCAATCTATTTGCGGCACAGTGGTCACCTGGCCGGGTCAGAGCCCACATGTGGCTGCTGTTTGTGCAGTTTTTGTGTCGCAGGCTCGGGTAGGGGTGGCCGCTGGAAAAAAAAAAGATCTTTCCCCTGGGGAAAACATCTATCCATCTATCCATCCATGCATTTTCTAATCTGCTTATTCTCATAAGGATCGCAGGCATTCTGGAGCCTTTCCCAGCTGTCTTCGGGCAGTAGGCGGGGGACACCCTCAGCTGGTTTCCAGCCAATCGCAGGGCACACATCGACGAACAACCATTCACATTCACAATCACATCTAGGGACAATTTAGAGCAGGGGGCCACATACGGCCTCGGTCGATGTCAAGTGGGCCGGACCATTAAAATTATACCATACTCTGCTATGAATAACCAAAATAATGACTTTCCTTTGTTTTGGTCAAAACAAAGGCACAAAACTTTAACAAATAATTGTTACTGAAAAATATAGTATTGCACTTCAAGATTAAATGAGATTTATAAAGAAAGGAATTTTTAAACCATTTACACATGTGCATATAAAATCCAAATGTAATCCCCGTCTACACCTTAAAAACTAAGGAGAGTGCTATTAAATGTGTAAAGAAGAAAGTATTCACATGTCGTTGATAGCATCTGCTGTGTTGGGTCTGGCTCAGTGACAGACTGAGACTGCTGTTGTCTTCTTCTCTGATCAAAACAATGTTGTCCCCCTAGCGGATACTCCATGAATTGCACCCTCTTAAAAATATCCATGTCTTTTATGCATTTTTTTCACTTTTAAATGATCCTGCGGGCCTGATTGAACCTCCTTGGGAGCCAGTTCCGGCCCGCTAGCCGTATGTTTGATTTAGAGTGTTCCATCAACCTGCCATGCATGTTTTTGGACTGTAGGAGGAAACTGGAGAACCCGGAGAAAACCCACACAGTCACGGGGAGAAGATGCAAATGCCACACAGGAAAGCCGGAGCCGGAATCCAACCCTGCACCTTTGCACTGTGAGGCCGACGCGCTAACCAAGTCCGCCACCGGGCCGCCTCCTGGGAAAATAATGTCTCTAAATTTGTTTAAGTACACGTTAGCTCAGATTGTCCTTTTTGAAAACATTGCAAAGGATTTACTGATGGAGTTTTGACAAGCGAAATATATTCACCCATGCGTATCCGAGGCCCCCGGCCTTGTAATCTAGTCAGAATGTGTGGATTTGAGTGTGTGAATGGTTGTCAGGCTAGTGCCCTGTGAATGACTAGTGACCAGTCCTGGTTGTAGTCAGCCTTTCACTCAGAGTCAGCTGGGATAGACTCCAGCTTTCTCTGAACAAAAAAGACATTGATCATTGATACATACTGCTTCACTCAAAGTGAGGTCATGAAGTAGTGATAACAGCACACAACCGTACGTTTTTTTCCCCATTGGCTAATTTTTTGATGCTGCAGTGGCTTTCCAAGGTGAAAAAGAAAAGGAGCCGTACTGATTCCACTGGCTCGCTGTATGTAATTTGTTCAATAAAAAGTCAGTGAAGTCCAATCAGTCGGGCAGTGCAGGGTAGCTTCATGCACAACAAGTCACAAAAAATGAGTTGCCATCATGCGGTCAACTCTCTCACGATCTTACTCTCCCCCATCAAGGGAGCAACAATTGAATCCAATTAGAGCAGTAAGTACCTGCCTAAGTATCCCTCTCTTCAAGCACTTAAGATTCATTTGTTGTGAGGGGAATCAAGGGTTAAGCCCTCCCACACACACCTCATCAAACCTATCCACTCATCACTGATTCGGAAGAACTGCTATGTCCGACCCAACAAAGATGGCAAAATCAATCTCAGTTGTCTTGCTTGATGAAGTAAAAAAGGTGCCATGTCTTTGGATACCAGAAATTATTCTGTATCTTTCTTCACCTGGCATTGATGTCAGTCGAACCAATAGATGCTGATCTAGCTTTTTTATGCACTGGGTGTGATGGTTGGATGGGGGTGGCTGCCAGCTATTCATAGTGACTGAGAGCTTCTTTGTTCCCACAGTTGACTTCTGTGCAGGCAGCGTGGGATCAAATCTATTATTTTTGCTGTAGGGTTAAAAAAACCCCAAAAACATTGGTTTGAGTTGTTTTGGGTTTCTCTTAGCATCTTGGAGAGGAAAAGGTCAAATCCATCAGGTGCGTGATTTTAAAAGAAAAGGAAAGAACAGGAGGAAAATCCAGCAAGGATACAGGTAGGTATGAACACCCCTTTAACATTAACCATAGTGTCATGTTTCTGTTACAGATAGTGTGTTATTATCTTATCTTGCAAACTTATCATCATCAGAATTATCATCATCATCATCATCATCATTATTATTATTATTATTATTATTATTATTATTAATGTCATGATCCTGTTCTTGTGTTTCTCCATTGGGTGACAGAGGAGGGCCGTCCTTCCAGCTTGCACACCTGCTGCCAATTTAATAAGCTAACTATTTAAGGACTCCCATGTTGTCATGTCTCTGTTCGATAATTCGCCTTGCTCACAACTGTCACCAAGTGTTGAAATCGTCTCGACGTTCCATGTTCTTGCTCTGTTTTTTTGTTCGCGCTAGGTTTTCTCCAGTTACTGTTGTAAGTAGTTTTTCGTAGAAGTCATGTTTTTTGTATTATATACATTGGAGTTTCTTCTTGTCTATTTATTGACAAGCAAATTCTGCTGATGTTTTTATCCTTGCCTTTTTTGCAGGTGTTTTTGGTTGTCTCGTTTTCCCTTCTGTTGGACCAACATTCTTTGTTGAACTTTGTGAGTCTTGCGACCTATTTTTGTTAATAAACCTTTTTTGTCAATTTTTTCTGAGTTCACGTTTCTGGAGTCCAATTCTGTCTGAAGCTTTCTGTAAACCTGACAATTATTATTATTATCATTATTAATTTATTATGATACAGAGTTGCTCTGTTATTATGAAATACAATTCACTATTTTCAAGAAAATCAATGCACGTGTGTGTGGTTTCTTGCTTGGCCACTGGTTGGATGTCTAAACCAGAGGCGATTGCTCTAAGACTGCAAGGGAAGCTCAGCTTCCCCTAAAATGTCCAAAAATAAGTGATCAAATACATGTGTGTACATACAATTGTGTGTACATGTCATTGACTAAAAATGCGCTACAACGCGCTCAACTTTTTTCCGAATCAGCTTCTTATTACTGGTTACGACGCGACTCTCTTCTCATTCATTCCAGCAGCTTCATTGCGCTTTAAACTGTGTGGACGCTGAGCGTCTACAGCGCGGACGCTGGGCGTCTAGAGAGATCAAATTAGGTTGTCCCATTGCATTGAAACGAGACGAGTCGTTGGATAAATGCTGGTTTTGTCCCGTCCACCGGACGCTCAGCGTCTCTGGGAGTCTATGGAAAGTGGGCATGCAGAAGCTCAGCTTTTCTTCATGATGATTGGATGATCTCGCTGAGCCTGAATCCGTTTTGATTGACAGCAAAATGAGCCAATGATCTTATGGTGAAGGCATCCTTTTCATTTTTTTGAAAAGGAACGGAGAGTAGAATTCACGTATAAATAAACTGACACATTTTCTGTTGTAGGCCAAAATTGAGCTTTCCCTCCTTGACAGACCAGCATCCGCCACTGGTCTAAACTCATCTTCAGATTTGGGGGTTGCCGGTGAAGTTCACACCAGTACAAGGTGTAGCCAACATGAAAACCAGACGTGTCTGTGTTTTCACCCATGGACCAACAATTGTGAAGCTGAGAGATGTGAAACAAACAAGAGCATTTGCACAGTGACCATAGCAAGTATTGATCAGTTCTTCAGGTACCTTTGACAAAATTTGATGCAAATACAATCCACACACTTTTCCTTCTCAATTGTAGTCACCCACCTTTGCGATTTGGACGCACCAGTTGAGCAGCAGCTGTGACCCGATGTTGTCCTTATGCTCATGCACGTAGTCGAGGAGGCAGCCATGTGGCATGAGTTGGGTGACCAGCTGGATGGTGGGGCTCAGGCACACTCCTAGTAGGCGCACCAGGTGGGGATGCTCCATGCTGGCCATAATCAGCGCCTCCTGAGTGAAAGACAAAAAGGAACTAAGAGCTCCATCTGGGATATATCTGGGTACTCTGATTCCGCTCACAGGTTGTAGTTTTGGAGACCTGACACGCTGTTAGAGTCATGACGTCTATTTGTCAACAACATCGGCTTCTGTTTTCATCGCACAACTCAGTGCCTGTCCATGTATCTATTATGCATGAACACTTGTGTACTATATTCCAAGGGTAGGTGGATATGGATGCATAAATGAAGACGGGTTACTGACTAAATTTGCATGCAGCATCTGCCTGTGGAGTATTCTCACAGTTCAAGAAAACACTGCAGAAAGCCTCTTCAAAGCAGCAGAGACACAACCTTTTCCGTCTACATTTCACACAGAGTTTCATAAATATTGCACCAGCACAATTAAATGTAGGCCATGGCAGATCTGAATGAGACTGGCACACCTTGCAACTCACGGTAGTGCACACGTAGATGAGGTGCCACTTTGAATATAGAATTTCAGAGGGAGCTTGGCAGGAATGTGAGACGCAGTAGATTAATTCTAAACAGCAGGGGTGCCGCAGGCCAGAGAAACGCCTTGGTTTCAAAGAGGTGCCACTTCAGGACCACTTCATAGAACCGCCCAAGTGTTTTGCAGCTCCAAGCACCCCCAAATTAGGTACACAGCAAGGAAGGAAAAAAGTAAGAGTGAAAGAAGACAAAAAAAAAAAATTGGTACTGCTATCAAAGGTTCATTGAGTCGTAGTAAACTCTTGCTCTCTAATCCAGTGTGTGTATGTGTGTGTGTGTGTGTGTGTGTGTGTGTGTTGTGAGTGTGGGTGTGTGTGGGTGTGTGGGTGTGGGGTTGTGTGTGTGTGTGTGTGAGAGAGAGAGAGAGTGTGTATGAAGGTGTGCCCAGGAGTGCAGCCGTGTTTTGCTCTTTCTCCCATTTTACTGAACATTCCGTGGCAGCCAGATGACCCCATTTTCCCATCCAACTCTCACACACACACACACACACACACACACACACACACACACACACACACACACACACACACTTACATATGACTGCATCCAAAGACATTGAATATGTGCCCTATTAATCTCCTCTCTATATGTGCAGTTTGCATAAACTTAAATAATAAACCTTGTCACTCACATTCGCATATCTGCCACGATTGCAAATTACGCTACCCCTGCTGCCATTACCTGGGGAACATTTTGTTTTTGTTGTGGTGTGTGTGTGTGCGTGCGCGCGCGTATGGGTGTGTGCGGGTGTGTGTGTATGTGTGTGCTTCGAGAAAACACTCCAGTGGCTAGCTTCTTAGTGGCGAGGCGTGAGCCTGCCTTTAGATTGCTGTTTAACAAGCTGACAGAGCGAGCATATTGGCTCTGGATGGACGCAGAATCCCGCTGGGAGAAACAGGAGAAAAAGAGAGGCATAGGGTAAAAGAAAGGAGAGGCAGGAGGTGAAGAGAACCCTAGACTCCAAAATGGGAGCAGTGAAATCAAGAGAGTGTGAAGAGAAAAACTGGTTAAAAGAGAGAGGAAAAGTGAGGTGGGAAGGGGTGATAAAAACAAAAAGTTCTCTAGCCTGGCTGGACTCCAGCGCAGCCACACATCATAAACAAGTGGTGTTTTTAATAGTCTCATCCAGTCTTGGCAGTTCATTTTTATCCCAGAGATGCTACTTTCATTAAAATTTATAGCCAAGTGTGCAATCCGACAAAGTGGCAGGCGACAGGAATACGCACGTCCATGAACTCCACATTGGCTTTGGGGCCCGTGGCCTCGTTGAGGATTTTAATAGCCACTGGGATCTTCACCGTCTCACCTTCTGGGACCCAGATGCCCTAGAAAATAAAGAAATTTGTTTAAATCCGATGACTCTGGATCTCAATCAACACAGTAGACAAATCAACTGCTGCGATTTCAATTTTGGGCTCCTGGCTGACGTACCTTGTAGACTGTCCCAAAAGCCCCGGAGCCCAAAATCTTGACGCTCTTCAACTCTGTCTCCTTCAGGATGCGAAGCTGAGCTTGGTTGGGGGCGGTTCCGCTCGGCGTCAGGGGCTCTACCAGCTGATAAAACACACAGATGGTAGAAAGTCAAACTTTTTATCTTACGGTAACATGACATCGCTCATTGCGAAAAGCTGCAGGTGTCCATTTTTAATTGCCAATCAAAAATGTTCCACTTGCGCTATGAATGCAAAACAACACATTTAGACATGCAACATGTCGAGGGTGTTACATTTGACATGTGGTGTGCAGCAATAATGAGTGCCAAATGATAATAAGACACCATTCAAAATCTGTGACGTTCCCACCCTGATACAGACGATTTTGAAACTCGCGTACAAATTTCGCACACATTCTGCAGTACAAATATTTCTAGGGTGTGAACATTTGCGACATTGATGGGAGCATGCCCATGCTGAAAAAAAATCTGTCCGGTGTCAGCTGCTAGCACAGCAAACAAACGAATCATATCCCACCAGCTGTGCACATACCAAATCATTCTGTGCCAATGTTTACGACGAGCTCCCTTGGCTCCACTTGGCATCCAGTGAAAAGTGACACCGAGCCGCATTCCGGCAGCTGGTCAGCCATGCGCCTCGCCACTCCACAAAACCTCAGACTCTTAATCTAAAGAAGCAGGGCTTCACCTGTAACTGAGCTAACCCGGGCAAGTAAGAGCCAGGCAGAAATCCAACCAGACAGCAAATAGAACAGCCGTACTCACAAATATTGGCAAAGCTGTATCGACATCTAGCAGCCACCCAAACGGAAGCTCATATCGAAGCACAAAACACACATCCCTGCACACAAGAAGTCAATGTGTCTGATCGATGCGCGTCTTAATGAGCCTATCGGAGCCAGAGTGTGCTGTGGTTTATCAGCGACATAATCACGCCGCTCAACCACGGCCATCAAACAATATAATGAGAACATACATCAGGTGGTCAGCCTCTCAAACACTCACTCGAGGTGACATAAAACCATCACCGCAAGAAGAGCTGTGAAAACGCCGGCTGCCTGCAGCCCACTGCACACAAGATGAGTTCGCCGGCAGCCTGCCAGTGATGTTTTGCTTCATGGATTCGGCCCCTCTAGCAGAGGCCCATTGTGATGTCACTGCAGGAAGTAGGTTCGCGGGCCGAGCTGGGGGAAAACCAACTTGACCAATTGGGGGTCGCAATAGACCTCTTAGCTCAACTTGAATTGTAAATCTTCCTCTGACTAGTTAAATTCTAAATCTATTCTGTGCTTCAAACTTTGTAGAAACAGTCTTTTTCTTTTTCACCGCGATTGTGTTCCACTCCTGCCTGTTTCAACAGCTCCAGCTCACTGTTGATCTTTTTTTTTCTTGTCGATTTTTTGCCTCATTTGTTTATATTTTTGGAGCTCGATGTGTTTCTTTTGCTTTCAAAACACGGAGATGCAGTTTGGGCTGGCACAGGATTCCCGTGTTTGCAGTTGGGAGCAGCTGGTGGCGCCTCGTGCAAACGCTACTACTACGCTCTTGTGAGCTGAGGAGGACACGAGGGTGTTGGGAATGGAATGGTGTGTCGAGTAGATGATGTCTGGCCGGCCTCTCATCTGTTATCGTGGGATTGTTAGTCCCAATACGGACAAGCTGACGGCAGAGTGCATTTTACAGAGTTGTTTTTTTGTTTCCCGTATCCACGGTTGCTACTGAAATTATGCAAATGTCCCCATTGTGGGACGAATCAAGGTTATCCTATTGAAACAAGGCAAAGGCATGCTTGGATGAGATTGATGTGGAGTATTACGACGATGACCTCAACCCCATCAAACAATGTCTCCCAAGCAGTCAACGCCGTTTCCACTTTCAGCTGTGGGTCTATCACTCCATATTAAAACTGAGTCCAGATTTTTCTTCGGCACCTGCGGATTTACCAATTCACAGAGGTTTTATTTATTTTTATTTTTTTTTTTCATAGCTTTTTATTTAATATTTTAGTTCTTTTTGTTGGGGAAGCCAATGTACCATTAGTGGAAAACACTTTGGAGGTTTATCAGTGTTTCGTAAAGATTTTTTGGGGGTCAAAATTTTCTTCTTTTTTTCCCCAATGTATTTGGATGGTCATCAATTATACCCAGATTTTTACTATTCACGAGCCAGGGCAGCGAATTTTTTTCATGAGTATCAGTTAGCTTATTTTGTTACACCTAAACTACAATTGGAGTACAGCATGGAAAAAAGTCTTGTTTGACTTGTTTTCAGTCATCCGTTGTCACTTGCCTCATGCATCTGTCATTTGTCATGTAACATAATGGGTGAGCAGTGAACACAATTTTTGTTTGTTTGTTTGTGGCGGCATTCATCCTGGGCGGATTGAGCCGGCTTCTTCCTTGGCTCGCACAACGTCCCTGATCATGGGGGCCCAAGCGCAGCGATCCTGTGCCAGGTCAACCGACAGCCTCAGCCAGTCCTTGTTCCACCGTCGCAGACCCACCACCTGGGGGCCGGAAAGGTACGCGTGGTCTTCTTTCATCGTGGTGGCACAGTTCTTGACTTGTCCACCACGCCGCTTGCGCCAGGTTGGCGAAGGAGCAGGAAGGAGAACATCCGTGATCGGCTCGGCCTCCTGGTGGCGTGCCGCATGTCTGAACCAACGGAGTCGGCGTCGCAGGAGAATCACTGGTAAGGGACGAAGGTGCAGGCAGCGGCGAAGGTCGGCAGTAGGGACCCGGTCCCATCGGCGGAGGCGGAGGATACGGCGGAGGCAACCGTTGTCGAAGACTTCCAGCTTGCGCTGGTCGACCACTCTCAAAGGCAAAGTCTCACAGCCTTAAAGGAGGATGGTCCGCACGATCGCTTGGTAGACACGCCCCTTCGTCACCGCCGAGATCTTGCGCCGACCCCACAGGTGGTGTTGTAGGCGCACAAAGGCGGATCTGGTGGCCCCGATGCGGTGATCGACTTCCACTTCTTCATGCCCCGACGGAACCACAGAGGAGCTGAGATACGTGAAGGAATCGATGTTTTCCAAGGCCACGCCCTGAAGCGACAGTGACCGTTGGTCAGCTGGGTTGGTGAAGGAGGACATGATCTTGGTCTTCGAGGCGTTGATGCGCATTCCAATGGTCAGAGCCGTTCGATGGGTTTTTGTCAGCGCGTTTTCATCTTCCTCGTTTTCAAGTTTTAACACACCTCAGCTATTGTAATGACACTTGTAGGGCTGTTAAAAATGCTTATAAGTTAAAAAAAAAGACTTCACGTTCACTTTTCAACATTTCAATTTCTACATTTTGGGGGGGAAAACATTTGATAAGGATTATGCTCAAATGTCCAAGTTGTCTTTGAAGAGTATCTATGATTTCATAACTGGGAGCAACGAAATGTGGGAATATAAATGGGAATAGTTTTGTCCGGGCTGGTTATCATCCATCAAATCCGCATGGTATATGGGCAAAGAGCATGATTAGCATCCACGTGTTTGATCACACAGGGCACGTGTAACAAGAAAGCAAGGGTGACGGCGGGATGCTAGAGGGAGCCAGCTCCGAGTCGACACCGTGATGAAGCTGTAATCAGAACAAATGGCGACAGGCCTTGGCTGTTATTGTTTCATTAGGACGCAGCTGGCCAGAAGCCACGAGGAGAGCGGCAAGGGAACTGCAGGACCGAGCTGGTAAATAGAATGTGTACACATGGCCGTAGATGAGATCCTCTAAAGCGTTTCTTAGCTTGCAGACTTGATGCGCCACTTTATTTACGAGCTAATAACACACCGTGCTTTGGCTAAATGAGCTTCACTGGTGGCGATGTGATGCGAGGTTTGCCGGGCAAATAAGCTACGTGCTCAACCGTCAAACAAGAAAAGACTTCAAATACTGATATCCTTCATGCATAATGAAGACAGGTGCGCGTTTTCAGTGCTCACTGGATGATTTGTTGGGAAATGAAAATAGGTGAGTTGTGTATTTTGGAAAACGGTGTCATCCAAACTTATTGCAAAAACTATTATAAAGAAGTATCACATTTTTGGGGGATTTGTGTTTTTTACGTCAAACGCTGGAGTCTATCCCGGCGGTCGATGGGTAAAAGCAGACCACATACTGAGGTGGTCGCCGGTCATTCGCAGGGCACATAGTGTGACAAACAACCATTCACAGTTGCACCATCAATGAGCGGGACCTGAACATCACAATTTTCTCTTTTGGAAAGTTTGTCCAAGATTTTGGAGGGTGTCTGCAGTGTGGGGATTTTCGTCCACTCGTCCTAAAGAACATTATATGAGGTCAGAGTTCATTGAAAGTAGACCTTCTTTGTGCACTGGGGCAGGGATGATGGGAAGCAAAAACGATCTTCACCAAAGTTGGGGGATGCATATAATTGCCCAGACTTCAGGGGCAACAAATGGTTCTAGCAAGAATTCAAGAAAAAGGCTTGACTCTCTTGTCTGTCAAACACTTTCCTCCGCTTACTCAAGCGTTTGCCTTCTTAACAAACCAGCGGCGTCCGTAGCCCTCACTGTAGTCTGACACTTTTCCAAGGCTCTTTTTGGCAGTTGAAACTGCACACTGCACTTCGATCCTCAATTCAAACAAATAACAGACCCTGATGACTGAGATCAAGAATGTCTGGATGAAGGCTAGGGGCTCTGTGTCCACCCCGTTGTCTTTTCCTGCGTACAGGGTGAAACCAAGGGCTCACCTCTTTTGTCAGTTGAGAAAAAGATGCCTCCAGTACATGCTGTCAAACTGGGATCTAAGGATGCGGCCACCATTTCAATATCAAGCACGCTGAGAAGGCTGTTGACTTGGAAAGCACACTTGTTTCATTCCTTTGTTTTGCCATTCGCTGTTTTTCCGTGCGGCATCTCATCTTTTTTTCTCAGTTTTGATCTGTGAACCCATTTTTATATCTCCCTTGTGACTCAATCTCTTTTAACTCAGCCTTTTTCCTATCCTCACCTTGAAAGCAGCATCCATTGATGATGTATAGTTCAAACATGTCTCTCGTGGTTTTTGAAGAAGCCCCGAAAACCAAACAGCTTTTTGCACAATGCTTTACAAAAAGATTTTGCAAAGGGGTTTTTTTTTTCCCTCTTCAGAAAAGTCCAAAATGATCTGATGAGTATGGTTTGGTAGAACTTGAACCCGGGGTGAACTAGAACGCATATTGCCAGAATTGAATTGAATTAAATACAACTTTATTGTCAAATGTGCTGTACAGCACAGATGAAATTTCTTCCCTCTGAACATAAAACAAGAGGAGCCACTGCGGGTGTCCGCGCCGCCATCAAAAGAAAAGTTAACAAAAAAATGACAAAATAATACAAGACAACACATGAGACACAGACAATCGTGCAATCTTAACCACTTTCCTGCATACACTTTGTTGTCTGAAGCAGTTATCGATGAAAGAGGAGCGAATCAAAGTGTCCTTTTCACCAGTGGATCAAAGACGTCATGCTGCAATGTGCACACGTCTGCTACAAGCTAAGCTTGAAAGCAACAAGAAGCTGTAGCATCCATTAACGAAAAAGAGAGATTGGCTCTCTTCTCCTGTCTCATGTAAATCCGCTTCAATTCCAAGCCGCGACTCCCAGTTCCAAATACGCATCGGCGCTCTGTGCTGACGCTCCTTTCTTCTCATCGTCGGCTCCTCAATCCATGCATCCATCCAGCCGCAGACTGTCCACGACCTTTTCGCTGAACAAAGTGGTGCTGTGAAAATGCTGCCTACTTCAGGCGCAAGACACAAGCGCCCCGGGGATGTCCAGCAACGTCAGTCAAATGGCGCCAACATTCCTCCCAATCAAAAAATCAGTGCTGGTATGCGTGTGCTGCCGAGAAGGCGCAACCACCAAGCACAGATTCTTCTTCTTTGACGAATGTCGTGGCCAAAAATGCTGAAAACAGTCCACATCAGGTCCACACGACGTAGCAACAACACCATATGACAAAACACAGACAAAAACAACAAAAAACGCAAGGCTCTTGAAGAGCACTTGTCGACGGCTGCCTATTCGGGCCCCATCTTGGAGAAAAAAAAAAAAAAAAAGAATGATACCCTTTGCAAGACACTATATAGTTTATGAGCCAGGAATGTATTTCATCTGTATTCCTTATGCTTATATTATACAGACAATTAGGAGGCAAGATTTCACCAGCCATTCCAAGGTGTCCTCTGCCTTTTGCCCGAAGTTAACTTCAACTTCCCAGTGACCCCAATAGTACTATGTGGTGGATGGATGGATGGACCTTCTTTGGTTTTGCTGCATTTTTCTTCATTCATCTGTTAATGCGCCTGTTATTTAAGTCCAGTGTCTGCCACAAGCTGATTAAGACGGGCGCGTGGGATTAGGAATACGTAGAAGGTTCCTGTGACTGTAGTCCTCTGTTTCCTCACCCTGACACCTGACAGCTGTCTACAAGCTGCTGCCTCCACCTGAAAATGATCCAAACGTGGAATGACAAGTGGACTCCTGTGGGCCAGTGGCGAGGCCTGCGGCGATGACACGTCTGAACCTGACCCTCCCCGAGGTGTGCATGTGCAGCAACACAGAAGTGATCCGTGCAACCGATGCAGCCAGAACACTCCTCAAGGAAAATTCACATCAAGCACAAAGGATACCTCTTCGGTTGGTTAGCTGTAATTAACAGTCACAATCTAAATTGACTCGAAAGGGATGTTTTAGGATGCTTTCCCCAATTTAGACTCTGCGATTTCCAGCATTCATTTGCGCTGCATGTGTAAATGACATGGACTCTTGGGTAATCATCTCCATGTCATAAAGCTTTAATAGCAAACCTCTTTTAAGACCATGTCTCAGAATTAGGCTAAAAGATCCTTCAGAGAAACGTAATTTCTCAGAGACTTTGGAGAAACAATCTTCAAGACACAAAGCAGGGAAAAATCATTCCTATATTTCAAGAACAACAGCCATGGCAGATCAAAGGCAAACATTCTTCATTTTCACCTGCGAGCTCTAGTTCAGGTTTGTGAACGTTAGCCACATGAAGAAAGAGAGCTGAGATCTCCATCTTATGTTTGTGCTTCGTGCAAGCGGAACAAGGTCATTTTCGTTGGACTCAAAACGCGTTGTATGCTTCTGTGTATTTTGAAACTGTGACTGCACGTGTGTCTGTTGGTAATCTGTAAATAAAGTAAAACCCCCCTCTGAAAACATCTCGCCTCTTCCTTTTACAGTGCGTGGGCACTGCCTTGATGATATTTATTGGGTGACAAATAGTACCATGAGCACCAAAAGAGATGCCCGACACGCAAAAACCACACACAAGCGGACGGTCCTCACCTCCGTTTCCAGGAACCGACGCAAGGCCCTCTTCTTCTTGATGCTCTTTCGCCGAACATAGACAGCGACGCTGAGCGCCACGATGACAATGACAAAGAGGCCGCCAATGATTCCGGCGGCAATGAGGGGCGTCCTGCAGACAGAAGTGGGTGGAGAGTGGTGTTGTTAGTACCGCTCAAAGTGACGACAGGTGTAAGAAAAGCAAAACTTAATGGGACACACACACACACACACACACACACACACACACACACACACACACACACACACACACACAGAGGCGTGCTATGTTCATGGATCCTGTGACTGGGAAAAAAACCCAACCTGCTGCTACCTCATATTTGACGTTCGTAACTAGTTGTTGCAGAGGACATTCACGACTAATGGAAGATTCGTGTAGCACGGCACTACTGCGGGGACGTGAGGTGCTGTATCGATTGTGGTGGGCCTAAATAGGGAGCGTGGGGCGGTGGGGGTGCTTGAAATTTACAAAAAGAGGCTTCGGATTTCAACATAATGAGATATACAGCCATGTTGTGAATAGTAATGCAACAGTTTGGAAAGATTAGGTCGGCTCGGGTGGAGAAGCAAGGAGACACAAAAGGGAATTGAAGAGGGGGTGAAAAGGACATGGAAGAAGCAATCCAAAATATATGAAGAAAAAGGGAGAAGGAACACACCAAAAAGGATTTGAGGCGAGAAGAAAATCAGAGAAAAGGCAGGGTCGTGGAACTAGAAAGAAAACAGCAGAAGGGTGAGAAGCAGACAGTGAGACGGCACAAGGTGAGACAATGGGAAGGACTTCTCTAATTAGGAGGAGAGGATTTACAGGCGAACAGGCGACTCGGGGTCGCCGCCAGATGAAAGGCGGGACCATCGGCTCCATTATGTGAGCAGAGAAGCCCCCAGAGGCGAGAACAAGTGCTCGTTTGTACTTTAATGGATACCCTCTTACTACTTGCGCTCTTTTGGCTCAATTCTAATGAGTCACATTTGCTCTAATTGTTAAAATAACTTCTTTTTATGTGCAGGCTAATAGAGTTGTTGTGCCAAATTGTCCACTGTACTCTTGATTGTTTTTACTCCGCTCAATGCTGGAGAATCGGAGAGGTCAGCAGGAGGCCGATCTTTATGAGACTAACACACTGTTGAGAGTCAAGGGATTTTTTTTTTGTCCATTGATCCAGAGTTCCATTTGTGAGGTCCTGTCAACCCTTGATTCATTATTGCGATACAGCACGGTTCCATAATTTTGTTTATATCGTGTACTCTAATTGCGTTTGTGCATTTGGACAGTGGCAGCAAATCGGGTTCCCCAGTCCGACGTGATGGATGTTTTCCAAGATCCCTCACCTGTCCATCATCCCAACACAATCCTGGAGTCTGGGCCCAACGCATCTGCAGGGCAGAGAAAGCAGAAACATCGTCCATTAAAGCGCGGGCAGGTTATGAGTAAACCTCTGCTTGTATTTGTCCTGCGTCACTCAGCTGTCACCGAGCACGAAATGAAATCCCCGCGTGGCTGACCACTCATCACGATATGACAGGAGGGGAAACCATGTTATGGCTTGTTTCACATCAAAGAAACACTGCCGGGGAATGTAAACTTTTGTGATCTGTAGGCCAGCAAAGAAAGCCTTTCTCTTGACAACAAAGAGTGACCATGTACAGTTCATCCTAATCTGAATGTGGTCTGTCGCCCTTCAAGCGCTGATCCCCCGTAAATGGGGGCCCTGTGAAAATGTCCTGAAGCTGATCTCAGATGCTTAGTGCCTCTAAAGAGGCTAAGTAGTTCTACCACGCTGACCTGTGATCTGTTTTTCTGTGTTTTGATATACTTTGTAAATCCGGAAGACCTCACAGGCTGGGGTAGAAGAACGAAGATGTGATGCAGCTGTTGTCAGGCCAACAACGGAGTTGTGCCAGAGACCGGAGTGTCTTCTCCCCCCATTTTCTTGGTATTTTCAATGTACTTGTATTCGAAACATGATTCATAAGATAAAACTTGCTCATTGTGCTCACGCGAGGATTGAGATGTGACAAATCTGGCATCGGAGCTAGACAAAGGGCTTCCTTACCCCTGGGTGCAGTTGGCGTGGCAGGGATGACACTCGTTGTTGGCCTTGGCGTACTTAAAGATGAAACTGTTGGCTCCCTGCAGACCGTCGGGACACTTCTCCACACAGTTGGGCCCATCTTTGAAGTGGAGGCACTTCACACACTGGTCCGGACCCTGGATGAGCACCATGGTGGTAGCCCAGAGATGAATTGGGGTGGGGAATAAAAAGATTAAAGGGAGCTCAAACAAAACGATGTCCCATTGTCTACAAAGGTGAAAGAAAAGCTATTAAACTGTCCGCGCAGGAAATAACGAATAAAAGTAGCATATGGGAGAATCAGATCGGGAGCTGGCAAATGCTGTTAATGCGCTCACTTCCTGCCGCGGCTAACGTGGCTGACGGGTCTGGTGATTTATAACATGTCCAGCGCAAATTGCCAGGAGTGTATTCCAGCACACCTCGATGTTGAAGGCGGCAATCAACAAAATCTGGTCATGTCAAGGTAGCGCACGAGGATGGCAGTGGCGGAGATGACAGGTGGTAAGAGCTGCAGCGGGCTCATGAATAAATAAGACCAGTGTGTCTGAACAGACAAAATAACAGCAGTGCTGTGTATTCACGGTGTTGGAACATCCTGATGGACAGTGTCATCTTTGGCACATTCATCCACATGCGAGTAGTGTGAAATTTGAAATTTGCATGTGCAACCATAATGCAAACATATAGACGTCTGAATGCATGAGAGTGCGTCTACAGATGCTCCCACATGTACTTTATTGGTGTGGAAGATTGTCTGTGGCTGATTGGCTTTTTACTCAACAGAGACCAGCATGTCACATTCGGCCTGTTGTGCTTCAACAAGCACCCGTGTTCACTGAATTTGTCCTGCAGCACGGTATGTTCTGTGTGTGTGTGTGTGTGTGTTTTTAATCAAACCACAAATGTTTGAAAAGAACAACTAATGGAAAACTGATCATGTGTTTTTTTTTTCCTTTTTCATTTTGACATGTTGACCTTGACCGCAATTCTGGACAGAATTAGAATGGTTTGGAGGGACAAGTCTTACTTAGCCGGAGAACCGCAGACAATTCTGACGAAGCCAATTTCGACTCTGTAAACGATCATAATTCGTTCCCTTCAGTCCTGCAACAAAATTGCAAGTAAAAGATTCTTACCTGCCCAAGACACGTCAAGGCGTTACCGTCCATCCTGTCGCACTGGCTATCACACTCCAAACACACGGATCCATTGGCAAATTCACGCCCTTCCCTGATCGAGAGAAAGGGAAGAAATTGTGATGCATGTATAATGGATTTGAAAGCGTGTTGAAATATTGATCTGAGCATACTGAGTGGGGATTTTCAAGTACATCGTGTGCACATGAGCACAAGTCGTACATAGGAGCCTTTTGATTTCAACCAACATGCCATGACGCATCCAGATAGCTCAGATCAAGCGTCTTCCATTCTCTTCTCCCAGACTTTTAATTGCGACGGCTGCCGGAGTGCCCTCCGGTTGAGGGCAGGGAGGGCAACGATCCGCCACTGACTATTTGATCAAGTTAAAGGCTCAAGCTGGTCAATAGGCTGGCAGAGAAAGGCCTATGAATAATGAACAGCTTCTTAAATCGTGGCAAACACAAAGCGATGCACTGAGGGAGGCGGTAGAGCTGGTGGGAGGATATGAGCGTTCAGGGAAGCCACCAGGGAGCGGGCAGTGTTTGATTAGGAGAGGGTGAAGGAAGGGGAAGGAAATGGTGTGCACAAGTACAGATGATTTTCTTTTGTTTGCAGCTTCTGAAGCGGTAGAAGTTGAGGCAGTTTACTGAGATGCAGTTCATAATTATGGTTTTGTTTTTCCATTTCTCAAGGCAAATATTGGGTTTATACACTATAACTACAACAGCAGGAGCCGCACCGCAATTCGGGCCATGCTGCCGAATCCTGCCATGTGTGCATATCTAACTCGATCCATGAGTGTCTCCTTTGTTTGTGTCCAAACCAGCAAATTATGCTGCTTTTTTGAAGTGCTGCTGCTCTGGCGAGGCGAGGGCTACGGCTGTCAATAACAACCGCCACTGATCAAAAACACTTTTCCCATCAGGGAAATCGATGAGCTGATGGACACCCTGGGAGGGAGGCTCATGCAGCTGCAAATAAGCAGCCGTCTCTCTCACAGGGGAGGGCTGATGAAAGTGCGCTTCTCCAATAGAAGAGAGGCTCAACAAAATACTTTTATGTGATCCTGACAAATTTGGTGTCTTGATGGGTTTCAAAGTAAAGAACCCACACTCATGAGTTCAACTGTATCCCATTAAAGAGTCATAAAAGTGAAAATGAAATCCCAGTTCTCCCTTTGGCTAAGTCGGAGTATCTTTTATTGGCTAATTCTAATGGTTCGTAACAATTGCAGCAGCTTGTCGCAGCCTTTTTTTTTTCCCGTTCTAACTACATCTTTTTCATGACGTCCAAAAAAACCCTCCCATTGCTCACTTTACATATTTCTCCCTTGTCTTTTTTCCCCCCCCTTGTTCCAGAGTAATCATATTTCTCTTTTGGAAGCTGTATCCTGGGGAATTCTTGAGACCAGGCAGTTATCTCTTTTGTTAAATGCAGACAGAGAAGAACGACAAAGACCACCGCAGTGGTGTTCTCGCCAGTTATTTCTATTCAGTCCAACTCGTCCTCCTGATTGGCCCCTTCATGGCCGCACCAAGGCCCCACCGGGCGGGGGTTGTCCTGATGAGGGATTAGACTGTGGCCAATACCTCATCCCCAGCCCCCTCAAAAAAAAAAGCACGGCCAACCCACCAGAGCTACTTTTTTAATTAAACGCATTCAACGGCTCCCTAATCTACCCTGCAACTCTCAATGGATAGCATCAGACATTCCCCTCCTTGCGTGCATTCTCTGCCTTTTGTTCTTCCTTTGTTTTATTCAACAGACGTAGAAACTAATGGGAATTAAGTGTATTTCCTCATTAACAACGGAAACGCGTAAAAAGGGTGAGCTGAGAGACCTAGGTTTCAAACCTAAAAACTCGAAATATATTCGCTAGAGATATGGACATTTATTGAGGGCTCAACCATGCACGGAGGAACATTGCGGGGAACAACAACAACAATAGCAGCAAACAAGCAACTGCTGAAAAAGTAAAACAGAGCACATGATCTTCTCTACGTTAATTATGTTCAAGTATTTAGTCTCCCAAGTACTCTCTGGCATCCGCGGGGAGAGCATAGAGAGCTTTTGATGAGGTATAAGTCGGATGTGTGCGGATGAGCATTCATCTTACAAACGCATCACATACACATTCAATTTATATCCACATTCAAAAGAGCCCCAGGTCAGATTTGAAAAAAGAAAAGTCTGAATTTTACTGTTGTCACTGCATAGGGAAAACAAATCAATAATTCAATAAATGAAGAACAGATATGTTCTTCAAATGGGCAAAAAAAATTGGAATTGAGGTGCCGTAAAATATGAAAACAATTAGCATCATGTGACTGCGCAAATCCAACTCTAAATCCAAACATGGTTGTCTGTCTCTTTATGAACTGGCAAAGTGTCCAGGGTGTGGTCTGACATTTGACACAGAGAAATACATACATACAGTAGATGCATATTAGCAAGAGAATCTGACATCACATTTAGAAAACTGATCAAATCTTGCATCAAATTAGATGTCATCACCTATATTTGGTGCACAATAACCATACATTTTTTTAAACGCTTCACATTTTATTGGAATGTATGATTTATTGCCAACGAGAAATTATTTTCATATTTGATGTTATTGCATGACACCACCATCCTTGTCTGCACATAAAGAGGAGATGTTTGTGTGACCAAAATAGCAAACCACTAAGTTTCGTGCCTTGCTCCACAACATCTTACAGCTTTCATCATGAACATAGCAACAGATCTCGACATATGGAGCATACCTATACCCAGTGATGTATTTTGAGAACTTTCAAACATGCGCACCTGTTCTTTAAGGACATGTTGGTTTCACACTTGCGCAAAGAAATGCACCAGCAAGCTGCAATACACTGCAGTGGCCGCATTTACAGTACAAGGAGCTTATGCTGCTCGCTGCCACATGTCATTCCCTCGCCAGTCTCCTTCAAAGCTTTGACACTGATCTGTTTTTCCTGACAACTTCAAAGCTTCCCCCTCACAAACGGTGTTCGAGAAGGACCAGCAACAAGTCAACACCGACCGAGGTTTTGCTCGCTCTCGAGCGCCGAACCTCAGGCGCAAATGCGAGGAGTTGCATCCACCTCCCATGGGGGTAACACTTGACATGACCACTTTCAGAAATAGTGACCTTTTTGTAGACGCTGATGGGATTGTCATATTTGAGACAGATGCTTTCAAGTGTGGTGATTCACAACATCTCCTGGTTCATTCACAAGGAAGAATCCGGAAAGCACATTTACAAAGATCTTATTCTCGGGTGAGTTGCCACACATTCGTTTGATGTGCCTCTAAGCAGCATCCAGCAACGACCTGAGTGGAATTATTTATGCTGCTCGATAACATCAAATGTGGCTTTTGTCAGTCATTTTCTAGTTCATTTGTGAACATTTGCCCGAACTATCATAATTCACCAATGTATTCAAGTTAATTCGGCCCGTCCATCGCGCAGGTGACCAACTGCGAGCGCAAAATTTCATATTCGTCCATCTCATTACATTCACTGCAAATGGCAATTAGACTCTCCTTTGGAGCCCTTGAGGGCAGTTTGAGTTCATTGTCATATATCAAAGCTGCTTAAATTGATTTTATTTCCTCTGCTTGTCATGCATGCCTCTTTGCAAGGGAATTAATGTGTCTTCGGGAACCATAAAGATCTCTGGTATTGTGGAAAATGCTTTAGCAGCTCATATGCAGTGCTTGTGAACAGTTAGCCTACTTTTGCATTTATTACGCACCCATAAAATAGATTGCAGGACTCAACGCAGGTGCGGCCCCGTCTGAAGTAGCGGCAGGAGAGACACTGGTCTGGTCCCGGGCCCCAGCAGCCTTCGTCAGAGCACATCCGATCGCACACCATGCGCTGCTGGGCTGTCCGGGAAAACAAACAGATTCAAAATACAACCTCACCTTTGCATGCTTCATTTTGAATGTCACAGAGATAAAGGACACGACTCCATGCAAGCAAGACACTGTGTGAGCATGCATTTTTTTTTCCCCTCTGAATGGGAGTCTTTACATACAATGGAGCTGAAACATCAATGCTGTTTATCCACACACTCCCTGATTGCGCCAGCATCAACCTTGGATGGACCAAACCCTTTGTCAACAGTCAGTGGACAGAGATGTATGGAGACTAATGGAGGAGTGTATGTAAGACATTTCCAACATCACACCATACTTACGAACTTAGCAAGGGGTGGCCCATGTATGGACTTCAGAATGTACAAATTAGTTTGGAATACACCATTGCATCCCGTAGCCCTTAATGACTCTCGACTTGTTCCCTGGTTGAATTCGGGTTCGTGCACTTTTTTGGGTATTTCCATTGTAAAAGATCCCATGATATCCATCCATTCATTTTCTGATCCGCTTTATCCTCACAAGGGTCGTGGTGCGTACTGGAGCTTATCCCAGCTGTCTTTGGGCAGTAGGCGGGTGTCACTCTAGACCGGTTGCCAGCCAATCGCAGGGCACACAGAGACGAACAACCATCCGCGCTCACACTCATACCTAGGGACAATTTAGAGTGTTCCATTAACCTGCCATGAATGTTTCTGGAATGTGGGAGAAAACCGGAGTACCTGGAGAAAACCCACACAGTCACTGGGAGAACATGCAAACTCCACACAGGAAGGCCGGAGCCGGAATCGAACCCCGTACCTCTGCAGTGTGAGGTAGACGCGCTAACCACCCTCCATCGGGCCGCCCCGTCCCATAATGGAACAGTACAATGGAAAGCTGCCATTTAAAAATTGATCAGAGCAGAGGCCACTTTTTTTTTGCCATTTGTGTCACTTATGGTATTTATTCATTATGTCAGCGCACATCTAGCTCTTTTATCTCATTTATCATTATTCTTTATTGCACTACGCAAAAATCCTGACTGATTGATGAGATAAATACTTTGAGGTAGCAATAATGTTCTTTACATGGCTGTCACCTGATCTATATTTACTGAAACACAATAAAGCCTGCCACCACTTACTGCATTCCTTCGGGTCGCGGTTGTTGCGGATTAGCACTTTCTGGGTCGGCGTCCGGAACAACGAAGTCCAGTTGACGGTATTGTAGAAGCAGAGGCGGCTGTTGTTAAAAATGTAGACGTTGCCGGCGCTGATCTCATCCAGCGACTGGAACTGCAGTGAGGAGATCCAACGTTGTTTCAAAATCAGCAGCGAGATACCGCTTCCACTGTAAGGGTGGCATACAGAGCGATGTGACATCTGGAATGTGCAAATGAGGCGAGGAAAGTGGAAATATGATCTCTCTAAACAAAGGCTGTCACAATAAAACTCGTAAGTGCGTCTTCTGTCACATGTGACATAATGAATAAATAAAAAAAACAAAAAATCCAAAGACAATGCTGTTCCCTCCTCGAAAGCTTTTGAAGCAGTGTCACAATTACAAAGCCACTTTCATTGATCATATGAGTAGTATAAAAGTGTACTTTCTTGTCAGTGTGCATAAAGTTTTTCCATGGCAATGTGTTCATACCTGTAAAGGGATCTCCCCCCGATGGTTGCCAGGTTCGAAAAAACACTCAGATCGGTCATGTTCTCAGGCCAAGATTGAATGTTGAGGTAACCTGTAGACAATACCGCTTTTTAACCCCACATTAACCTCCAAAATTCTGAGATTACAAAGGGTACACTTAATGACTAAACATCACCGAATTCTTTTTTTTTTTTTTTTCTTCACCATCATCTTGAACTAAAATGAGTCTTGGTCAATTTGCAAAGTTCAAAGATGAGCTCATTGTTTTAAGGAACTGGACAATATACACACATTTAAAGCCCGGATTTAATATGGGGCTCAAGTTATCGAATGGCATTGGCTTTTAATGACAGATAATAAGGCATCAGCATGTGTGGAAATGAAATTAAAGCGAGGAAGCTGAGGATGACTGAGAATGAGAGGCTATTGCTCTTTCTTATTGCTTGGCTTTTCATTATGAAAATGCAGTTTCGCTCCATTAGCTGTTTGGCTCAACTGCTAGCCACACTTTAATATGACAAAGGGTTTGTGTACGAGCTCATCCCTTTAGGGCCTCGGCTTGCTAATGGACACACACATCCCCATGCACGCGTGCGCATGTGCACGCGTATGCACACACACGCACACACACACAGACACACACACACAGACACAGACAGACAGACAGACAGACAGACAGACAGACACACACACACACACACACACACACACACACACACACACACAAACACTGTCGTATCATGATACTCAACCATTATTTGCAAAGTCACTCATTCACCTGTGATCTCTTTCACGGTGCGGAACACGTTGAGGCGCGCGGGATCCAGCGGTCCAATACCGTGATACATGTCCCTGAAGTGAAGACACACGGAGAATCCAACACTAATCTTCAACATATTGTGGACGGTAATCTCATTTGTGAGGGAAACATGTTCTTCTACCAAAGTCGGCACACTCTTCTGCTGTAACATTCAATATGATTTCCATTAGTAGCTATTGGTCCACTTGGAAAGCTTCAGGTCACAGTGACAGCGCTGATAGATAGTACTGGGAATATTTCTCACTGACCTCCCCCCACAACTGGATTTCCACAAAAGAAATATGCTCGTGTTGTTTGCAACCTTATTCCATCCTAAGATTGGGTTACATTCAAGCAAGTACAAAAGGTTCTAGTTGCACATGTTCACACGGGGGTACAAATTCATTTCAATTCAGGTAAAGCTAAAACATAGTGTCAAAAAAAATATATAAATGCCCGGTGTGAAGCTCACCCTTTGATGCCGGTGATTAGGAAGATGAGGTTTCCATTGATTTTAGTGCAGTTGACAAATTGATCAATATTGCTGGCATCCACGGTTTGATCGGTCTGCAGGATGCCTGTCCCAATGCCGTCACACACTGGCAAGACAAACACAGTTAATGTATTAATCCTCATGTTCCCCGTGCATCTGAAGCGATGAAGTGGACGTCACTTTGTTTCAAATGACACATTGCTGCAAGAGGAAGGCTAGCCATTGAAATTCCTCTGATGAAAGACAATAACTCCACATCATAAATTCATTACATTTGCATTAATTACAGTTGCCGTCGTGTGTGTCTCACCAAGGCAAGGAATGGCGATGATGAATAAGGCTGGCATTAAGCGCTGTAACCCCTTTTTGATAGTGATTTATACCAGCCAATTTCATATCTGAAATGTTAATTTGTTATCATTTCCCACAGTTCCTTTGGCTCTCCCTCATTAACCTCTCGCTGCTGCATGACGATAGAACCCAGGAGATTCACCCTTGAGAGGCACTGCTGCTCATTTTCGGAGCCGGGTGGAAAATTTCATTGAATATTTCTCTTGAGGAAAGAGGAAGGACTTTCTTTGTCTCATAATTTGATCTATTGTGAACTGAGCCACATAGAAAGCCTTACGCATACTGTATGTTCCTCAGTCCTTTTTTTAAAAAAAAATCACCACAGGGTGAATTGTGTTTCATACACACATATATCTATTTGCAACATATTCAAAAGTGATTTTCCTTGACAGTGCTCGAGAAGTGGAAAATAATCTATTCAATAACGCTCCTAATTAAAAAAAAAAAAAAAAGTCTGGAAGAGCACTCGAACCTCTGACCTGTGGTCTCCGAGTCAGAGTCATTCAGCCTGAATTACTACAGCCCATTCATTTATGAAAACATCACTTGAAAAAGACGCCATTTTAACAAACGTATTGAGCATCAGCTGCCATCAGATGTCAAAAAGCTAAAGTGTATATTCCACTGAAAGAGACACATTTGGGGCCATTGTTACACGACATAAGTCAGTGTTTCGTCGAAGCAGCCCATAACACTAAATCATATTTTGATGTCAAGCTTTCAAAGTAATTCTCACGAGCTACTGCTGATCTGATATCATAAAGCTATTATAGATGAAAACGGCACAGCTGCTTAAGCTGTTTACAAGCAGACAAATGCAAAAGAGTGGCTGAGGCTGTTGAAGAATGGACACAAAACAGATTTGGCCTGAGACGGGATAGATGCAGACACCACGTTGGCTATCTTGTCTCGTTTCATCAAACTGGAAGAGTTCGAGCCACTGGAAGTGTCAAACGCTTACATTTATTTGCAACCTAAATACTGAGAGTTGAGCTCTTGTGAGGATGGAGAGGGCGGGGGGAAAGTTTTTCGCTTCAGCCTGTTGATGAGATTTTTACAAAGCAAAATGATCAGCAATATGAATGCCTTCTATTTTGCAATCTGATCTTTAATGTCGGGCAACCAGAGCTCCTCTTTTCGCCAGAAATGTTCACTTTTTTTTCAGACATCCACATGGTATCAAACCATGATTTTCAAATCATCTGGGATTGCATCACCGTGCATACATTCTTCTGCTGTAGAATTTCTTTTTACGTCCCACTTTCCTACAATGTCTGGCTGTACCTTTAATGCCGTCACTGGGGGAGATTACTTCAGCCAGATACAATTCCACTCATGTCTGATGTCTTATGATGTCACTCAGTGTTTCTATATGGAAGTCTTTCCTGTAGCAACCCCATTGAAATGAAGCTAACCACATGAAAAAAAGAATTATTTTCACTTATGGCAATTAAAAATACACGTACAATGGAGGATTTCCTGGAAAAGTGCAAGAGCTGAAAGAAGGCCTCTGAAAGGACAATAAAATTAAATTTGTCGTGTTTTGTTTTGGCCTTGCTTTGTGAGAGGGAATCCCTGTTATGCAAACCGCACCCTTCAAAAAAAAAAAAAAAAAAAAAAAAGCAAACTAGAACAAAAGAAAGCAAGACAAAACATTTACTACAATTTTGGCTTCCTGTCGAAAACCCTGACAATGTGCCCAATTTATAATGGCATAATAGCTGTTTTGTTCGTCTGTGCAGGAAATCGATGTGCAATGCAAATAAGGCAGGTTCCTGCTTTGGATTACCTTTGGGGCAGATGTCTGTGCAGGGAATGCACATTTTGATGCGGTTCTCCTCCACTTCCATCTTGTTGCTAGGACACGCTCGGACACAGGAGTTATGGTCCACCACAAAGTTATCTGACATAAGCATACAGAAGATGTTTGCATACATTAGCATGCAGATGTAAAGATGCCTTTAGGGTGGGAATTTGAATCATGTTTGTCATAAGATCCAAGCCATAGAATATGTTGCTGTTGATGAGGGCAGCGAGGGAAGCGAGAGGGAGGAAACCATTGCATATGCATAGGCATTGATTTTACTCCCATCACTTCATAAGAGAGCAACTTTATTTTTTTTTGTCTGGTTCATGGAAATAATTTTTCTAGGTGTCGTCACAGTGCACTCTCCGTTTCTCATGATAGGTTCAAGTGAGACTCTGAACAGGATAAGCGGTATTTTCATATTTTACTATTTGTAGATGATCTGGGGGGCTTCGTTGAGTGTGTGATGTCGCCAGGATGTCAGCTCCTCTAAATCTGAGCCCACGGTTTGGCGGATCGCAGAGTTGGGAGTATACATCTTTTTTCATGATTTGTAGAATTTTGGGGGGTGAGAATTGACCCATTGTTCAGGTTGCCGACGAAAGCATGACTTGTATGCAAATATTTGAAAGTATATAGCTGTGACATTCAAAAAATGGTCATCCGGATTTGATGCTTGGCATGCAGTGAGTCCAATTTAACAATCAGTTACAGTCCCCTCCAAAAGCATTGGAACAGCAAGGTCAATTCCTTTGTTTTTGTCTGAAGACATTTGGGTTTCAGAGCCAAAAATGACTATGAGACAAAAGCTGAGAATTCCAGCTTTTATGTCATGGTATTTACGTCTAGACGTGTTGAACGACTCGGGACAGAGCACTTTTGATTGAAGCCACCCAATTTTCTTGGGAGGAAAAGTATTGGGGAACATGACCGTTGCATTCTAAATGGTTTGCTTAAACAACAGATAATGTTTGTTTTCAACTTTGGATTTCACCTGTGTGAGCTGGATTTGCTGGTAAGCAAACATGATGACCAGAGACCTTGGGAGAAAAGCCGAGAGGAGCGGCTAAAATTTCAGAACAATTTGTTCCAGACTGATGAGACCAAGATTGACCTCTTCCAAAGTGATGGAAAGGCTAACGTATGGAGAAAGAAAGGATTTGATTATGATCCAAAACACACAAGCTCATCTTTGAAGCATGGTGGAGGTAATGCAGGTCACGGCTTGGGCTTGCATGGCTGCTTTTGGAACGAGCTCACTCATCGCAAAGACATTTTGAACATGTTCAACATTTGATGGTGACAAGAAAAACTGACAATGTTTGGTGAGCGTCTTTGCAACCTTTAATGAACCCTGACGAAAAAAAAAACAATCGCTGCGTGCGCAGACACTTGTGAACTTTCACGGCTCAGTGAGATACGGACTTAACTGTCATGTTTTGGCTCTGTTTGTGTTTGACTTCAATGTCAGCTGGAGTGGAGGGGGCACCTGTGCCTTGTTACCACTCAAGCCTGCAATGTATTTAAGGACTGTCAGGCTGCCCAGTCGCTGTCGGATTATTGACCTTGCTTGCTGTTCATGCTCAAGAGATACTTTATAGACATTCCGTTCATGTTCATAGTCGCGCCGGTTCCGATAGATTCTCATTTTGTGAGTATTTTGGTTTGTTTGTTAACAGCTTCTGATTTAAGTTTCGCATAGTTGGACCTTCATTTTGTGTTTTTTCGGATTTCCGTTTTATCTAGCCTATTTCAAGCACTTTTTGTTCTTATTGGGTTTTCCTGGTTATTTGTTGCTATTGATTTCTCTTTTCACTTTGTCTGTCCTTCTTTTTTCTGTAAATAAATCTTCTTGTGTCGTGATTTGTCTGAGTCTGCGTTTGTGGGATCCGCATACCATCTGGTTCATTGCCCAACCCTGATTTCTTTATCTTGGACCAGGATAGTTCTGGTTCTGAATGAAGATCCTCGACTGGAACTATTGGTTGATTTATTATGCTCTGAGAGCTCGGCTAGAATTCAATGACTCAAATTCTTGGTAAAAATGCTGTAATGTCAAGATACAAAGTGAACATACGGGGGCATTTCTTGACACAAAAGGCTCCATAGGTGTACTTCGCTCTTGGATTGTGCTCCAACTGGAACGATGTGGGATTATACACAAACGGCTGAGGGCACTGGGTCACACATGCACCGCTGTCGTTGAAATTGGTGCAAGCTTTTTTCTGTAAATAAATCTTCTTGTGTCGTGATTTGTCTGAGTCTGCGTTTGTGGGATCCGCATACCATCTGGTTCATTGCCCAACCCTGATTTCTTTATCTTGGACCAGGATAGTTCTGGTTCTGAATGAAGATCCTCGACTGGAACTATTGGTTGATTTATTATGCTCTGAGAGCTCGGCTAGAATTCAATGACTCAAATTCTTGGTAAAAATGCTGTAATGTCAAGATACAAAGTGAACATACGGGGGCATTTCTTGACACAAAAGGCTCCATAGGTGTACTTCGCTCTTGGATTGTGCTCCAACTGGAACGATGTGGGATTATACACAAACGGCTGAGGGCACTGGGTCACACCTGCACCGCTGTCGTTGAAATTGGGGCAAGACCCTGCAAAAAAAAAAAAAAAAAGAGAAGGGTGGGAAAAAGGCATAAACTAGGGTGTCGGGGATACAAGTGAGCGCTACCATGCGGGGCACACGAGTTATGGAGGCCATCGGAAGGTCATATTTCTCTCACAGAAGCTGTTGTGAATGAAAAACTATTACAGCTGCATTTCATTTTTACGCAACGTGTTAATCATGCTTGCGGCCACAAATGGGAGACAAATTGGAGCCATCTATCCGCTGCCAGCATGTAAATGCTGAAATGTTTTGCCGTAAAACTTTTAAGTGTTTTGTCATCAGTGGCCACAGTCCGAAACGGCAGTAATTGAATTGGATGAGCCTTCCTGTGAATTACAGCAACAATATCACACCTCCGAGTGCACATTGAGCAGCGGTGGTCCGCACAGGGCCGACTCTTGGTGATAAGAGGGATATTAATTGGAACAATGAATCACCAATTTGCTCTTTGAAGAGCGCCGGCGCAGCAGACTCTTACCGCCTTGTGAAATGACAAACAATGCATCACGACGTAAACAAAGTAAATCACTCTGGAAAATGACACGGATGTCACGCACGAGAGGACACGCGGAAGGACGCGCTCGAGAAGCATGCCGGGATGTGAGCAGGTCGTGTGCACGTACGAAGCAGTCTGTGTCCTTGGGTCCCGAGCAGCCGCCAGCGCACTCGCGGTGGCAGCAGTCGCTGACGTACGGCCCGAAGCATCGACCGTCACACTGCTCTGCGCACACCGTCTTCGTCACTGCCCACAAAGAGAAGAGCTTTAAAGGTCTGCCGTGCGCGCGCGCGCACACACACACACACACACACACACACACACACACACACACACACACACACACACACACACACACACACACACACACACACACACACACTCTAAAACAAAACAAAAAAAGGAGACAATATCACCACCCTCGACACGCTTATGCTGCAATGCTATGAAATTCAGGCAGATACAAATTAGGGGCTTCACAAGCAAAAGGTCACCCGACTCCTTCTCTGACCAAAAGTCTTGTATAAGACTTTTCTTTTCTTGTCCTAGAACAAGCCGCTTATCTTCTGGAAATTACTGTTGTGCTCTGAAGCTGCTGCTTCAAATATGCTGCAGCATGCAGCTTCACTGATTCTGTCTTGAAAAAACAGTTCTGCTGTGATGATCAGCCACCGCATACATATATAGATAGATCGATAAATAAATCTTGATCGATGTCCAACTGTGCCATTCATTCAAGTCCAGTGCTATTACATGCTAATTATCACCTTTTTTAAATTTGGCTAAATGGTATGAGCTGTATTTGTCCCAATTTACCTAGCATAAGAACTTGAGAGTAAAATGGCTACCCTTAGAAACTAGTGAATATTGCTAACTTATAAACAGGAGGCGCAATATAATAGCATTCGGTTGCAGACTGAGAGGAACCGGATTGATTCTCCTGTTGGTCAAAAGTCTTCTGGTTGAGAAGTGGATTCTGACTGGTGGCTCAAACACGTATGAATGTGTAGGCATCACAAAGTTACGAGATGAAGTAGCATCTCTTTTTCAGGTTGTAGTAGGAGTATTTGACTGAGAGTTCAAAGTTTAGCGGGGGCGCGCTTTTAGCACATTTAGAGGATACGCCCACTGAGTTTGCGAGCGGAGAAAATGGGCTTGATTCTTCATGATTTTGAAGCCTCATTTTAATTACTTTTTGTTTTAATTTGCCGGTGTTGTTCACGATTCTCTCCACTGTCACATTTAAAAGACATTTATTTTGCTTTACAGGAACTTTAAGTCAAGAATAAAAACAAAGCCAAACAAATAGGTTATTGCAAATTATGAATTCAAATGGTCAAATCTAAAATGGTTCCTCATTCATTTTAAGAGCTGGCTTGGCAAATTTCAAAACAAAGTATTTAAGCGTTTATTTTTCCTGCCTCTAACCATTTGATTTTTTTCCTTAATCAGGAAAGTGAATACTTCTCAAAAATGCATTTGATATGGTTGCATACTCACAGGTTTGACACTGGTCGTCCTGGTGACCCCAGCACCGTCCGTTACAGGAGCGATGACAGCGTCTGCCTGCATAACACACACACACACACACACACACACACACACACACACACACACACACACACACACACACACGCACAAAATTCAAGCAATCAGTCACGCCTGTAAAACTTCCACAGTAACACACTCCACGTGTCTATGCAGGATGACAAGCCAGGCCATTCTCTTCCATGGTTTTCTGCTGGAAAGTTGGACACCGCATCTGCCGTCATTAAGGCTTAAATGACTGGCGTTAATAACAGTGTAAGTGGAACAGTGCGCTCTGACTGTCACCAGGCCCACTCCTTTGCAGGGCAGCGAACGCAAATTCTAAACACTGCCTGCCAAGGGTCTCCAATTTGGCAACCTCAACTCCCACATGTTCCATTGTCATTTTAGGGCCCACCCCCTCTAGTCTTTGTTGCTTTTCATCGTCCTCCTTCATTAGTGACTATCTCATCAACCAAACTCTTCTTTTTGTCACATTCTCAAAGTGTCTGCTTCAACCAGCATTACGTTGGCAAGTGCACTATACGCAGCTCCCTGCAGGTTTCAAGACTCAACACCAGTATGCTTAAAACAAAAGGTCATCGGGCTTTTTTGTCAAGTGAACTCAAGTTCAAGTAAACCCCCCAACCCTCGTTGCATGCTCAATGTTTGTCACTGCAGCTGTCCTTGCTGCTCATCCCGATGGCTTTGATCTTACAATACTTGAAATGAGCAGAGAGGCTCTTCCCCCCCTTAAACAAAAAAAAAAAAAGTGCCATGAGGAGCCACTTCTTGTGACATTGAATGTCCGCCAGACAGAAATGCCCGCTGTGTGTAAAGAAGAGGGACCAGCGGACTGGAGGGCCCGAAGACAAGCGGCGGCAGCACCAGCAGAACCCTCACGAGCAACTGTCAGAGTGGCTGAGACTTAAAAAGAGCATAGCGACACAGCGGCTCTATGGGCCTCGCTGCGGAGCGGCCGCAGCGCCGACGCAAACGTTCACACGCTGATTTTAACACCATGTGATTTTGCCCCTAGTTGACCGATAGGCAAACGCAGTGACTAAGCAGTTGCGGGCCTCAAGTGGCTTGGCATGTGGATCACCTCCAAAAAGTGTCATTGTCATCCACTGGCTTCCACGTTTGTGGAATACTCACATCCCAGATTGCTGTTGTTGGACGGCACCACCAGTAGCTCGGCCTTGGGATTCTTGATGATGTCACGCCAATGGATGGTGTCCGCATGGCACAGGAACTTGTTCTGGTCAACGTAAACACCTCCATTCAGGATCTCTGAAAGGAGAGAAAAGCAAGCGAGAGAACTGAGCACACATCCACGAATATGTAAGAGTAGTACACAATGGCGGGAAATCAATGGCTCAAGGTTAACCGCAATAATCTCAGAGTTCCTGCATCGAGCACTCAAAAAAGTGCATCTGAGTGTGAAGATAAATGCTAGTGACAGAGCAGTTCAATAACACAGTGATTTCATAGTTCCTCCAAAAATAGAATTTTACGACGAAAACACACACAAACTCACACAGGAAAGTGCTATTTTCAGACTATTTGTGATTCATTCATTTTAACTTTCTTTATATGGGAGAGAAGGAAACATACAGACAATAGAAAAAAAAACTCTTGCAAAAATGTAGCTCACAGCAGTATGGGTAAAATTGGACAGAACAAGTATTCAACAAACAAATAACACATAGATATGTAAAATATCTGAAAGTAGCAGTAAAGCAAAGATAAATAAAATCTACTTAAAAAAAAAATCAACAAATGTTTCTGCATTGAAGTTAAAACATGCACAGACATAAAACAGATCAATGACATCAGTTTCAGATCAATCTAATTATTTTCCCCAAAAGATGGAGCCCGATATTAAAACTTTTTTTCTCATTTCGCTGAACCAAAATAAATGATTTGAATGGTAATTAAGTTGAACCAAGACAGAACCGAGATGTCTCTGTAGATCGAACATGATGAGTTTGAGCCTGGCGATGGACTCTTCAGACTGCACAGCATCACAAAAGGATTTTGAGAAGGAGCAGAAAGAAAAACAATCTGCAACGTATCAATCTTGGGATCAAGATGTAAGTTGCTCGTGTTTGAATGATGAAGCAGATGTCAGCAAAGCCAAACATCAAGTTCATAAATAATCGCTGCCAAGTGATCCTGTTGTGCTGGTTCTCGTGTGGAAACCAAGAAAGCTCATTTAAGACCATTTTCTTGTGCCAGAATGCGTCTTCTTGTATTTCGTTGCTGTAAAAGTATTGTTTTGAAGTGATATTCAATCCATCCATCCATTTTCAACACAAATTATCCTGAAGAGGGTCGCGGGGAGTTGCTGGAGCCTATCCCAGCTGACGTCAGGCGGGAGGCAGACTACAGCCTGAACTGATCGGGCACATATAGAGACAAATGACCATTCACACCCACATCCACACCATCACTGAGTGGGAAACGATCCCAGGCTGCCCGCACGCAAGTCAGACGAGTGTACCACTGTATGGTCAGTGACCATGAAGTGTTATTGTTGGGCAATATTGGAATTTGCATGTTTCTATTGTTTTGTTTTTTTCTGAAAGGGTGGCCCTGAGTTTTGGTAAAATGTCTGTTTTCATTTTAAAAGAACAGCACTTCACAAACCAAAGAGCTGACCTTTTTGTTTTTGTTTTAGATCAACATTACAGGAAAAAAAAAAAGAAATGGATTTTCCGAGTGGTATTTTTGCTGTTTTAGTTGTAGCTGTAATTAATTCTGAAATAACAATGAAATGGCAATTAGCATAATGATTTCATGTTTACTGTCGCCACATTAAGAAAATACAAAGGAGGATTATACTGCTCGGATTCTGTTTAATAAGATTTTGGGCAAAAACTGGGCGTCTTTTTCCCCAGGCAAAAAAAAAAAAAAAAAACAAAAAGAGCAAAAAGCACAAACTGACAACATCCAAAAAGTGCTCACATCGCTATTGACCTGCTTCACCTCACTGAGTCCAATGAAGCGGTCTTGTACTGAAACTCTGAAGCTCGATCGCAAGAGTGATTCTCTTGCAAAGCCGTCTTCCTTAATAAATGCCTACACATGGACTACCTGTAATGAATCCTAATCCCTTGCCTTGTTACTATTACAGATTTTTGAGAGCGATGAAATGATGCCTCAGTAATCCCTCCCCCAGTCACGAGCAGTGACCCGTATGAGAAGGAGAAACAACATCAGTGTCCTTCTCCGACTGTTGTTTAACCTAGTTTAGGGATTTAGATGCAATCACCTCTCATCCTCTTCTCCGAGAATCGAAATACTGTACTGCCAGATTCTACACCCACACACACACACACACACACACACACACACCCACACACACACACACGCACACACGCACACACACACGCACGCACGCGCGCACACTGATGAATTAAATTTCATATAAAATGTAACAATGTGCTTTAGATTAGAGCTGGATTAGTTGACGGGTATTAGCTCCGTGGGCTGATTATTAACACGAAGACAGTTGGGTGCATGACACACACACACACACACACACACACACACACACACACACACACACACACACACACACACACACACACACACACACACACAGAGGAAGCTAATCATCACCATCCGAAATCATGATTAACGACGCAGGCCTTAGTGAAGGCACAGACATCTATTCCAAGCCCTCTTAGAGGTGACATGTCGCTCTGTCTGCCCATTGAACGGCCTGCAGCCTTGGCCTCGTGTAATCATGTTCCCGTCAAAATGGACAATTTATCAGGGGGGTGTTTTCCATTCGTGAGGGGAGAAAATAAAACATGCACTGGCTCAGCTTTATTCAAATCAGGACCACACAGTTGTCATGCAGTAATGGCGGCAACGTTCATGATGAAATAAGCATTCGAGCATACTGGAAGTAAGACTAAAGTCAAACGAAAGTAAATAACGGAATAACAACCATGTACCAATAATAATAAAAAATAGGTCAGAAAACCAAACTGAAGAAACACAAAATGGAGAAAGACCACCTCCTAGCGATTGGTGACCACAAAAAAATGCATTCTTATTTCACCCTTGTGTTGTGTCATTACTTGGAGCAGCGTTTCCCAACAATTATTGACATATGCATGGATTATCTTGTTCTGCCTGTTACTTTATGTTGCTTGCATAAGTAGATGAATCCAATATCCATTATGTGTAATCAATAAACGTTTTCAGACTCAGTGAAATTACATTTTTTTCCCCCCATGGCACATCTGATGTGCTCTCACGGCACGGTGGCTGTGAATCACAGTCTTCGAGTCCAGCACCCTAACATTCGAACTGCCCCGCCCCCACCCCACAACCTCCCACCACTTCCGCTGCCCGCCTGCAGAGCTTCGATCTTCCCAGGTCAGGCAGGGAGATCGACACTCAGCCACCCGCTTGTCGCGATGTCCCTCACCCCCATTACCAGCCCACCCCATCGTCATCCGCACTCTTGTGATTCACAAGGCGGTCATGAAAAGCGTAGGAGAGACGGGGAGGAGGAAGAGGAGAGATGAGCGCAGATTGAGAACACTGATATGAGGAGAGGTGGAGGTAAAAAATGGTGAGGGAAGCTCTGAAAATCAATTCTGATAAGAAATTGTGTGTAAAGTAATAAAGCTTCAGCGTGCAGACTTTGACTATTACTATTTTGTGATGGCGAGGTCAGATGGTTAGTTCAAACGAGGAGTTGCAGCTCTGCATGTTAAACTGATCCACTCCCACGTTGACATTGCTTTCTTCTCCAATACGTTTTAAGCACGGGCACCATCTGTGTAAAAGAGATCACTTTGGACCCCTCAAAGTCAGTGCTGCAAATTGAAAATAATATTTTATAGGGCTCATGGTACTCATGAGAATCGTCATTTCACACCCTTGTGGTGTGCCTGTTTACAAAATGGAACTAAAATGGCATTTGTTGTTAAATAATTATCTGCAAAATCGAGTAGGCTGCAAAAGCTTGACTTGAGCACATTGTCCTCATTCGTGTGGCGAAAAGTAGGCCGGGAGAAGCTTTTATCTCCCGTCGACTTAATTATTGTGTTATTTTTAAATCAATGTCACAGTGTCTGTTTATTTTTGTCATTTAAAAAGTTATTTATTTCACTTTTAAATATGTAAACTTTTTCTTGTGATGGTGCTTAACTGCTGTCAGTCATTTTTTTTGTCGTAATTTTGGGAAGATACATTTGTTTTTTTGTGATTGCTTTTGAATATACCGTATATATCTGTTTTGTTCGTAAATGTTTCGAGTGTTGCGTGAAACACATTGAGTTGCCTTCTGATGAAATGTCAGATGTAAAACTAGTATTTGATCAAAATGAAGTAAACCGTGCTAGTGCAGTGTTGGAAATGTCATCATAGTTTAGCTGTATTCACTCACTTATCCTTTATCGCAACTGCTTATCATAAATGTGACTAATGAGAAAAAAAAACATGCTAAAAATCAAGACATCTCAAATAATGACAATAAACACCCACGCCCTACCGCAAATAGACCTGTTACAACACCACAAACTATGATAACATAAAATTTCCTGATGGTTTTAAAATGTCTTAAAGGTTTATTTTTTAAAACAAAGCACCGGAAGTGTGTAAATGCACAAATAGTCAGAAAAAACTCCCAGTAACTTCCACGAAACAATCTCGGCTAAACTTAGTTCTTCTGACACGAAACAATCTCAGTCGAGATGTATAAACTTCAATAATACTTCTTTGACACCAATTACTACTTTCCTACAATCCCGGGCTTTGGAGCTATAATTGTGAAGTCGTGTTGCACAATCATAAATGAACAGATACGTTTCTAGAGAAGAAAAATGTGACCAGGTGAATTTGGAAGGAGCGATTTTTTTTTTCTACAAGGGATGATTAAAAGTGGGGCGGCCAGGTGGCCCAGTGGTTAGCGGGTCGACCTCACAGTGCAGAGGTCGTGGTTTTGATCCCAGCTCCGGCCTTGCATGTTCTCGAGGGCCTGCGTGATTATTCTCCGGGTACTCCGGCTTCCTCTCACATTCCAAAAACATGCATGGCAGGCTGATTGAACACTCCAAAATTGTCCCTAGGTGTGAGTGTGAGCTTGAATGGTTGTTCGTCTCTGTGTGACCTGCGACTGGCTGGCAACCGGTTCAGGGTGTCCCCCGCCTACTGCCCGAAGGCAGCTGGGATTGGCTCCAGCACCCCCCGCGATGCTTGTAAGGATGAAGCGGATCGGAAAATGCATGGATGGGTGGGTTAAAAGTATTTGAAGTAATGTCGCAACA